GAAAATTCGAGAGAACCTTGAGTTCTCGACATGTTGTAGCACAAGATAATTAGTGTGCGGACCACTATCATTTATATAGTGCTCTGTGAACACAAATTAGTTAGCATAACTCAGTTAAATGATGAAAATTATGTGTCTGTTTACTTGTGACCACTCAGTGTATATATTCTTAAAGAAGGAGTAAATAGAGTTAAAGACATAATCCATAAACACAGAAAATATTTAAAGAAATTCACTGTTAACAAGAATAAGCAAACATATTGTTGGCATGAACGTGCTTTATAGTCACTATGAGAATAAGCTATACACTGGATAGGTGAAGTGAAAAAAAATGTTCTTAACCACTATTCAGTTTTTCATATTATAAGGCCACACAATAGCAGATATAATAAATAAACTTAGTATTCCGAAAACTGTTTAATATGTTTGATACTTTCACTATGATATAGGTCCAGCTTATCTATCTTTGGTTAACTTGTGTTCAGAGTTTCTGACAAGGAGTGGAATTCTCCGAAACTAGTAAAACCCAATAACACACGTTGATCAAAGTGTGGATTGAACTGGACCTCCCTTGAATTTAGTCTTCGAGATTAAACAATTTTCGGAATACTAAGTTTATTTATTAACAATAAACAAGTTATGAATAAAAAAATTAATTATCGAATATTTATATTTTTTTACACAGCGCACGCGTCGTCAATCACGCCAGTAAAGTTGACAATAACTTTTTTCATTTGTAAATATATACATGTTACATTTTGTATAAAGATCTATGGTTAATCAAGGAACACTAAAACCATATAGGTAACGAGATGTATACACACTTTAAAACTGATGAAGAAAGCATGATTACACTTTGGGGTTCATCCAAAAAAAAAAAATCTTGTAGCGTAATATGTAAGTTATTTTGTATTTTCCAACTTCATAAACATCATATAAATACAGGTTAATTGCAAATTATCATAAACTACGACTAAAGATTTACCCATTCCAGTCGATATTGGTCTGAAATACATTAGATAGTATTTAAACAAATACTGTAATATTATCAGAGAGAAAGAACCAATATCAACACGTTAATTATCGTGTGTTTGCTTGTTGTTAAGCTATAACTACGCAAAGGGCGATCTGTGCCCACCTCGGGTATCGAAACCCGGTTTTTAGCGTTATGAGCCGCCAGATTTACCGCTGAATCAGTAGAGGGCTAATTATCATCAGTATTCTATTAAATATAATAAGAAGATTAAAGATTTTGAGGAAGAAACTTTTTATTCTAGTAATCTTTACATTAATCTTCCTATTGAAAAAATTGAAAAGTCCTTCATCGGCAATTTCAAGACATTTGAAGAATTCTGTTAAACTTATGTTTTGTATTAGTAACCATAGATGTTTCTATAGTGATGTTGCACATAAGATTAACGTTGTTTCATAATAAACGAATTCTTATAAGCCATATATTTTATACTTGACAACGCATTTGTATAATTCAACCACCACATATTTCAGAATATATTGAGAATACCAATAGCAGATAATTTCAGCAAACAAGTCGCAAAATTTATATTTATTTTAACGTGAATTTCCAATCAGCAGTGTAAATTTCAAGTAATTATTTAATAATTTGTACCATGTTATAAACTGATTTAGGGGGCTTGGCATGATCTCTTGTTTAAGGCACCTGACTTGCAATCTGATGGTCGCGGGTTCGAATCCCTGTCACTGGGGCTTCATAATGTTGTGGTCAATTCTACTATTCGTTGATAAAAGAATAGCCCAAGAGTTGACGGTGGGTGGTCTTGAATAGTTACCTTCTCTCTAGTCCATTACTGCTAAATTAAATAGCACAGATAGCCCTCGTGTAACTTTGCGCAAAATTCGAAACATAACAAAACAAATTAACTGATTTGGGATTAACCTCTGTGAAAACATTTGTGCTTTGATCTCAGCCAAAATAGTGAAATCAAATGTTCAAAATAATAATAACATTTTAAGGATGATATTTTCCGAGTTTTTCAAACGATAGAAAAAATATATTCATGATGGTTAACTTTTTAAAATCTAAAATCTCCAAAGATGATGCATTGAAAAGTGTGGTTATGCAGGGATACTACGTGCCTGTAATTTTCATTTACTTGGGTATTTGTAGCTTTCACAAACACTATTTAAGAAAGTTGTTAGGTTCCTTTCGATCTAGTTACCACTGTTTTGTCTGATACACCTGAAGTATCGCCTTTGTTTTCTTGTAAGAAACGTTTCTTCAAAATTATACACACTATGAGTCCAATTAGACAGCAACCTTTTATACTGGCAAGTCAGATGATTTATCGAGTATATAACCTCTACTATGTTTCAGAAGGTTTGACCAACAGTTACATTGGTAGCGTGACTGAGAGAAAATAGCATTGTTGTTTCGTGTATATAATGCTATGTTTTCTCAGTCTCGAAAAACTTTAATAATTTTTAACAAACGTAAAGTCTTCACCACTGCTACAAAGAGCTCTACCCAGTAAATATGCAGTCCTCAGTTTTTAATATAAAGATTGTTTCATTGTGTTTTACATGTATTTAATCGTTCTTTTTCAAACTCAGTTTGGGTCAGAGAATTCGGATTTAGTTCGTACTATATTTCCTGCTATAAACTCATGTAATTCAGCAGATCCTATCTTGTCACTCTTTTGGTTATTCAGTTCATCTGAGAATTCCACACAAGTTTTATAACAGAAATAATTATTAATTATTATCATTTCTCGTCGAGATGAGCTTGAAAAATGCGTTTTAGTATATTGTTCGGAGATGTTTTTTTTGTGATTGATATAGCTTTTTATTACTACATTAACTAATTTATAAATATCTAGCATCCTATTCTAAATATATATAATCAAAAACCATGAAAAAAATCATAAAACACATATTAAATGTCATAAAGCACCAAACATAAAAGTTACATATTATATATATTTGAGTTTGAATAATTGTCGGCAGATTATACTAGTAATGCAGTTTTCTGCAAAACTTTTACACGTAATAACCAAATTAAATTATGGTAAAGCAAAGGGGCTTATATTAGATTAGATAAAAATATTTAAAAATTGACTATAATTTCACCGTTATCATTGCCTTAAAGAATTGTAATTCAACTAGATTTGCTAGATAGGGAACAAAACGAAATATCGCATTCTTCTAATATCTTTAGCCTAGAATAGCTCCGCTGAGTTTTTCAAATACAAACTTTTAGCTCATAGCTCCGTCATCTCTTGACCGATTTGAGATA